TTTGGAGCGAGCAGGTGTCAGGTACCAGACACAGCGGAAGCTTCATGATTATTGTTTTGGGGTGTAGCGGAGAGGAAAGCCTGACTAAAGTGACCAGAGAAAGAATGGAATTTAGGAATTTAGGGACCTTAACACGTGTCTCTATCAAGCTTTTGAGAACTTCTGTTGTGAAGGGAAGCAAGGAAATGAGGTGATGGCTGGAGGGGTTTCTGGGATTTCTAAGAGGGAGAAAATAAAGCCGAGTGTCAAAAACATGTTTTGAAGATGGAAGGCAATTTAGTCCTCATTCTATGATGAAAGAGACTGAGGTTCAGAAAGGTTACGAAACTGGTTTAACTTGCTTAAGGTCACCAGGCTGGACAGTGACACAGTCGGGGGCTCAAATTTAAGTGACTCCAAAGCTTATAACCTTTCCACTTTCCTTGATCTTGGATATGCAGGGTACTGAGAAACTAGCAATAGTGCTTTTGTACCTTGAAACACGGCGGAGACCAGGGTGAACCATGACATGACAACAGACAGCTTGGCTGTGTGTGCTAGTGAGTACCTCAGTCTGTGTCAGAACATAAAGGCATAATAACCACACATGTGCTCCAGGAGGCTGAACTGCAGCACCAAAAAGAGCGGCCATATCTTTGCCTGCTTTAGGCTTACCTTGCTTTTTTTGAAGTCAAAGCTTTATTTTCATTCAGTTTTCTTCCACCACTTTCTATAATGAGATAGACATATATTTTAGTAAGTTATTTCTAGACACTGTATGATGTAAAACAGTTAAAAATCTCATTCTTTGGCCTCAAGCAAATGAACAAACTCTTCACTTTATAGCCACTATGAAGATACTACTGCATGAAACCTAGTGTGGCAGCAACTGTACAATACCACGTAATGTGGTTGAACCATGGAATGATATAACTGTAGTAACTCCTAATAAAACGGTTTTGGAAAAAAAATACTACTGTAGAAGAACAAGATCCCATAAACAGTTAGTCTCAGAAATCCACTGGGGGAGTGCTACCCTGTCTTACAGGGTGGCTTTAGTTGACACATCAACTTGATGACAGTTTGGTTTTGATTCGGCAGACCAGCAAGGATACTTCTGAGGGTAACAACGGGGATTTGTGGGAACACCGTGAGTTCCATCTCCAGTATTCAGAACAGTGCCTTTGGAAAGGGAGCCTAGCTCCTCTAGCCACCGTCAAACCAGGCAGCCACCACTATGGCGCCCTGGACTTGAATACAGTGCTTTTATTTTGTTCATCACTCCTTCGAAAACAGCTTTACTGCAACAGTTAGTTCACGATTATGAATGTGAAAACCGTGTAAATGGTTTCCCAAGGCTATAAAAATCCGCTGAGGAAAGGAGGCATTAAATATAACTATGACTTTTGCTCTCTCCCACTTCCCAAACTAAGAACCCCTACCTGTAACTGAGAGAACCATTATATTTTAAAGAAATTAAATTAAATACTAATTTACATTATTAAACTCCAATGTTATTCAATAACACACAATAAATAATACACAACAAATGAATACTATCTCAATCCAATACTATACAATAAACAGTATTATTTAACTCATATTAAAGACATTAAATTGTACATAAGCACAGTTTTCTTTAATATTTAATAGAAGGAAGAGTTGGCATGTGCACATTTTATTTTATAAATAGTAACGACCAAAACATTCATTCAACTTCTCCTTTCTAAGGAAACAATACCTGTGGTGTTCCTTGCCCCATCTTTCCATGTATCTGGAGTGATGACAGTACCGAGTTTCTTTTCACCTGTGGAATCAGCGGAGAAAGTAAGGATGATGGTGGTTAGTCCTTTTTTTTAAACAATTGTTTGACTCCGCAAAAATCAGAAGCACTACTGGACAGCCAGCCATCCCAAGGTGCTCTGAGTGAAGACAAGTCAGGTTTAATATTTGATGGACTAAAATCTCATTGCCTAAGGCTCCAGGCAGCGAGAGGAACAGCCATCAAGGTAGTTAGTCTTTACCATGTGACAAACACACTACATTGTCCCTAAGGTGCCCCCAAGGGTAGCAGTCATGGAACAGCAGGAGTCTCACAGTCGCTAGGGCATGGACCAGAGACCCGAGACTCGAGATGTCTACTGTGGCTAACAGGTAACAGACTTCTCAAGAGAGACGCTTGGGAGGGCAAGATGGTCTACAGTAGGTTTTCACTGCACCCACTCCCTGCCACCGGAGTGGATTCTGACTCATCGTGGCCCTTCAGAAGCTTCCAGAGCCTGTAAATCTATGGGAGCAGGCAGTTTTACCTTTCTCCCAAGAGGGGTTTGAACTGCTAACCTTGCCGTTAGTTAGCAGTCCGACTCTTACTGGACAGTGATGGGGCTCCTCTCTTTCACCGGGCAGGTGCACTTTAAATACATTCGGCAAACCTATTCATTCAGGGAACATTTACTAAATATCTATAATGTATAAGCCACTATCCAAGGATGAGAATACTTGGAAACAATGGGATGGATGGGAAGATGCAAGAGGAGAAGCCAGAGCCAAGGTTCCATTTGCTTTTCTTATGTTGAGAAAGACTTGAGCTTTCTTTATATGAAAGGAGAGCTGATTACAAAGCCCAGAGGAATAGTGACGAAGGAGCAGGAAGGGTGGAAGGGACGCGAACAAAGACACATCAGAAGGAAGTCAGACAATAAAAGTATAGCCGGAGTGCCGTCAGAATGAGGTGAGAATATTCCTATGAGGAGCTCAATTTTTGGACAGATGTACAAAGGTGACAGAGAATAAGGGAGATGACAGGGGGGATGCTAAGAGTACTTGGAAGGTTTGGAACAGTCCCTAAAGAGAAAAGAGTACGAGAACTCACTAAAGATAAGTTAAAAGCTGATGAATAGCAGTCAATACCTGAGAGATTACCAACCATAACATTTTAATAACACCAAGTGATTCGTTGGTACAATTTCCTCCAGTGGCCTTCACATGCACACGGAAGTTTAGAGGGAAGAGGGTTCAGTCGTAGAAAGCGTACTTTGAGAAGGAAGGAGGCCGGAGGTAGGCGAGGATCACATTAGTCTTAGGTCAGTGATATGAATCTGGACTAGGGTACTGGAGGGGGAACTAAGAAGCTAGAGGAAATCTGAACATGGACTGGAAGTAAACACACAGGAAATGGCCACTGTTTGGACGCAAGTTTACAAAGGGAAGGGGGTGAATAAGAGATGACCGATGCTTTGTGAATGGTGGCTGGAGGACCGTGATGCCATCTGATGATAGAGGAGGTAAGGCTTGTGAAGTATAATGATGAGCCACCAGATGACACCCCAGCAGAGCTTCCAGCACTAGGTAGGAAAGACCGTTGATTGGTATTTAGGAGGGAGAGAGGTCAGGCTGCCAGGCCAGGGTAGATTAAAGAGCCATTTGCATGGATGTGCTCTTTGGAGCCGGAGACTTCCAAAAGAGAGGGCAAAAAAGACTAGAGAAGGCCAGGCCAAGCCGGTGGTGAGAACATCCATTTTAAGGAATGAAGGAGGAGGAAGAGAACGAAAGAAGCCTGGTGAAAAGTAAATCCAAGCCCACTCCTCGCCATCGAAGAGATTCCAGCTCACAGGGACCCTGCAGGACAGGGGAGAACTGCCCTGGGGGTTTCCGGGGCCTTAACTTTCTTCTTTTTAAGATTTCAGAATTTATTCTTTGGGCAATACAAAAACCAAACTGAGCCCACTGCCCGAGTCGACTTTCACTCATAGCAACCCTGATCAGGGTGCGGGAGATGTAAAACTTGAGAGGGGCACATGCTATCATCGTTGGGCAATGCAGAGCCCTGGAGCAGTTGTACATACAGGAGACCGAAAATCCAAGCCCACTGCCGCCAAGCCATCTGCAAACACAGCAACACTAGACAGGGCTTCTGAGGCTGTAAAGCCTTTTCTTTTTCAAGAATAAAATGAAAATAATATAACGACACAAACACAAGAGTAAGAAACAAATGACCATCATCAATATTTTAAAAGCCAGGGAAGAAATGTTTGGTGTGGAACAAACAAGTACTTGAGTCGAGAACAAATTTAGGTTGGGTCATGAGGAAGGTCAACTGACCCAGTATCAAATTATACCACGTTTGACCCACCATAATCCAGTTTACCATAATTTCTGTCTGATCGTAAAGCTGTTCAAGGGGATCTCCCAGAGGCTTAATCTGACTAGATACTCTGCAGATAAGATTTTGGGCTCCCACTGTCCTCCATAGCCTTCTACAAATTGGATGTTCACAATCACCAGGTGGGCAGACCCTTCCCAAAGTCGACAATCTCTACCTAGACTACTTTGGAGGTGAGATGAGACCCTCCTATCCCAGCCTGTGCTAATACTATAAGTACTCCTTCAGAGTGGCTATGCCATTGGATGGGAAATTGATTTAAGGTTGACAGATAAAAAGCTGATGTGAAATACAGTGGAGTTGGCTCCAACACATTGTGACTCCCTCAACCAAACATGGCTTTGGCCTGTACCAGCCTCACAATCGCAGGTCTATTGCAGCCCATGGTGACAGTCATGGTGCCAATCCATTTGATTAGGGTTTCTTCTTTTTCAGTGAACCCCTACTTTACCAAGTGTTTGGTCCCTCTTGATAACACACCCTTGTGGGGTAGTGGATTAGGTACTGAACTGTAAACCACAGGGTTAGCTGCTCAAATCCACCAGGGACTCTGCAGGAAAAAGATGAGGCTTCCTGCTGGTATAAAGAGTCATAGCTTTGGAAATGCACTGGAGGGGTTGGTTCTACCCTGTCCTACAGGGTGGTTATGAGTCAGAATTGACTCAATGACAGCGAATGACTGAGGGGGGTAACATGCCCCAAAGTGACATGAGATTAAGGTTCACCATGCTGGGTTAAACTTCAGATAGACAATGGATAATATTTTTAGTAAAATACATCCTAAATATACCAAGTCCTAAAATACTGCATGGGGCATGCTGAAAAATTATTCGTGCTTTACCCGAAATTTTAATTTAGCTGGGTGTCCTGTGTCTTCCTTTTTTAAATCTCGCAACCAAGAGATACTGTAGACTGGTTTTAAAGATCCATTCCAACCAACCCTGAGGGTCTGTGAGGCAACGGAATTCGTCAGAAGGCTGGGTGGGATGAGATCCCGGGCTGGAGTCGGCAACATTACTACGTGGAGAGCAGAACCGAGACCACGCTGAAGGTCAAATATATACAACTCTAAGGTGGATAGAAACCCTGGTGGCGCGTTGGTTGGAGCGCTTGGCTGCTAAGGAAACAGTGGGTGGTTCAAGCCCACCGGTCTCGCTGGGCAGGAGACGTGTCAGTTTACTTTCGAAATGAACCACAGCTTTGGAAACCCTATGGGGCAGTCCCCCTCCGTCTACTTTATAGGGTCACTATGAGTCGCAGTCAACTCCACGACGGTGGATTTGGTTTGCTATAGGGTCAAAGGAAAATGGGCCATCGAGTTGGGGCCGACTCACAGCGACTTTATTCGACAAGGCAGAACTGCCCCTGTGGGTTTCTGACACTAACTGCTGGAGTAAAAAGCCTCATCTGTCTCCCACGGAGCTGCTGGTAGTTTCGAACTGATGACTTTGGTTGGCAGCCCGGCGCGTAACCATTACACCACCAGGGCTCCGGAAAATGGGCTGGGTTGCTCAGAGGGCAGGGGAGGAGAACAGAGAATCAAGAACCAAGAATCTGGGTAGGGAGAAAAACTAAAGGGGAAAAGGCCCTAGGGAAGTCGGCTAGGCTCTCCTGGCTTCCTCGTCCCTCAGAGCCAGCCCCTTAACTCACACTTCTCGCACACCATCCTTCAGAGCACGACGGTTTCCTCAACGGCAGTAGCAGCAGCAACTCCCAAACACCAACACTCCAGCTGTACAGGACTTCCCTTCCGAGTACGTCCATCTACTTCCGGCCTCTGAGCCCTACGCTTCCGCCTATCCTACACCTGAAAAGCCGCGGGAGGAATAAACGGGAGCTGGTGGGCGGGGCTGCCTTGTTGCCCCGCCTCTCCACGTTTGCGATTGGCTGTTGGGGCTTGCGTTCCCGCCCCCACGACCTTGCGCCTGCGCGAGGGCCAGGGCCGCGAGTCGCGCCTGGTGGCGGTGGCGGTAACCGCCCCTTCCCTTCTCGGGCCGGGAGAGTTAGGTAAGCCCAGCTGAAGCCCCTGCACGCGCGCTTCCCGCGGGTGCGAGCCGCCCCTGCCAACTGCCGAAGTGCGCGCGAGTCTCAGCGTCCCCCTGTCCGTTCGAGCGCCACCATGCCGGCGTGAGGGAGGGGCTCCCGATGCTCCGACGCTGGTTCGGATCCGGCGTTAGACCCGCTTCCCCAGGTCCCCACCACCTGTGCTCTTAGAGCGTGCCGTTCGGCTCGCGGCGTGCCGCCGAAGTGCTGCCCATGGAGCCGCACGGACCAGCTCGGGGTGGGGCTCGGGCCGACGTCCTGATCGGCTGCGCTGCCCAGCTCTCCGCCGCGATGCCCGAGGGCCTGGGCCAAGTGGGAGCCTTGGCGCCGGGGAGAGGCCCCCCGACGGGGTCCTGATGGCCACGCAGGGCCCTTGTGGGCGCTCGTTTCTTAGGAAGGGCACACTTTATCTGCACTCATTTGAGTTCGGGTGCCGCTCGTTGCCTTAGGCTCAAATCCACCGATGCCAGTGGGCGTTCCGAGAATGGTCCTCGAGAAAGCATTCCTCCTCCCCGGGTAGCTGAGGCTCGAACCTGGGAGGAATTTCCCGTTGTCCCCCACTGCCCTCGTTCTCTTCTCGACTCCTGGTGTGCTTGCTCGATAGAGGCTAGTCGGGCTTGGATGAATTTAGCACTCGGGACCTTGCACCGTGTCTCTGCGTTTTGTTTCCTATCAGTAACATCATGTGTGCCTTTGGAGATTATTCTCACGCGCCTTTTCCAGCTCGCTCAGCATGTGCGTGTCAAGCCCACGGTTTCCTCCTTCCCTTAATGTTCTGCTTTTGATCGGTATCTAGCACACGTCACGTCACGCCGTAAGAGACGTTGATCATTTTGGCATCTCTGGAACACTGGGACCCTTTAGGGATCCCTGAGTGGCAAAATCCCAAACCCAACTAATTGCTATTGAGTTGATTCCGACCCACAGGGACCCCGAGGAGCGGCCCTAAAAGCAACGTAGAATCGCCCTTGCGGGTTTTGGAGACTGTAAATTTATGCTATAGAAAACCCTGCCTTTCACCCGTGGAGCCGCTGTTTTCTTCTCCACCTGCAGAGCTTGCGGTTTGCGGCCATCCCTCCCTGGATGCTAGCGCTCCTTCGAAGAAAGACTTGTCAGTTGGCCCCAGAAACGTCACAACTTTGAATACTCTAAGGAGTACGGCCCTGTTCTTCCGCAGATAGGGTGGCCATGGGGCAGAATAGGCAACTAGCTTTTTGGTTTTCCTTTTCTGCAATCCCTTAGCTTAATGCTCTTGGAACGCTTCAGATTATACCGACAACATCATTTGAATATTCACCTGTGCAGTTGGCTTTGGCTGGAAGATGTGAAGTACTGTGATGTTGGACTATGGGTCTACATGATTAAAAATAAACAACCACTTGGCCTACGTGTATTCATGGGGTTTCTAGAAAGCATAGGTTATTATTTTTAATGGGGACAGATTACAGATTTTTTAAAATCCATACCGTTTTGATCTCCATGATTTGGGGGAGCAAAAAGTCAAATGAAGTGCTCAGTTGGTCCTACTGCATGTTCCTTTTGCAAACACGAGTCACATATTTGATAAGTTAACAAGTTAACAATTTGATAGATTAAATTTGACCTATTTAGGCTGTAGGGATTTGGGTAGAAGGAGCAGTAAGTACTACAGTAAGAAAATGTGAGGTAAATGTAATGTTAAATCTGTGTGTATATTTACACATGTATCTGCCTGTGTTTTAAAACAAATACATTACTGCTTATAAACTGATTTTAATTCATGACTGATTTTGAGGGGTTAGAACAGTGCAAAAAGTCATGAGGGCACGTGTTCGTGCTTTATCTAGTGATTGTAATTTGCTTTTCACTAGGTAGTCACCCAAGAAAACACCATGAAAGATCCTGACATCAAGAGACTACTGTATGCCCATCTCCTGTGCATATTTTCAGTTATCCTAAGCACCTTCATCCCCTCCATCTTCTTGGAGAACTTCTCAATACTGGAAACCCACTTGACGTGGCTGTGCGTCTGTTCTGCCTTCGTAACTGCTGTCAATCTGGTGTTGTATTTGGTCGTGAAACCGAAGACACCCTCTAAGAGAAGTTCCTTGTCTCACAAGGTAAGGTTTAGTCCGTCACAACTGATTTTTGAATTGGGCTAGGCTTGTTCCTTTGTTTTCAGGAAGGAAGACAGTCTCAGTCCAGTTCTCAGTAAGTGAATGTTACTTTTTCAAATCGGTAGCCAATTTATCTTGCCTAGAAGCCTGCCCTAGTGTTTGACAGATATTTGCTATGCAGTAACAGTGACAATAGGACAGGTCATTTTTCAGTTGCTTTTTTCAGTTGCATTTTTCAGTTCCTTTCAGGAACTGTAAAGTAAGCCTCCACAAAGCCTTCCTTGACGAAAAGGTAGTAGGTAGTAAGGATCTTAGCTATTAGAATCCGTAGTCTGACATGTTGACAGCTTAATGACGCCCTCACTTAACCATTTTTCAGTACTTTGGGTTAGATTGCTGTTAGATCATTGACGGTACTTCTGTTAATCAGTGATTCAAGAAGCTCGGTGTCTGTACTTCACAACTGTATCTCCTCTTTAAGCGCCAAGTCAAGCAGGCCCCACATTCTGATTTGCAACCAAGGTCTTAGGTGTGGGGACATGAAAGTAATTTGGGGGGTTATTTAGTAATTTGCTTTGGGGACAGATTTCCTAGGGTTTTTTGTTTTTTGTTTTAACTAGAATAACGTATTTAGCTCATTTTTATTCTGCACATACTTCATGTATCAGCTCAGCAGCTCTTTGATCATAAGGAGGGTTTTGTGTTTTCTTGTATCCCTGCACTGTTATTGGTACGTATTCCCTACCTGACCATTAGCAGCAGAGTTCACTATGGGGCGTAGAAACAGCCCTGTCCTGGAGTGTTTGCTGGGCCTGGGGCCTAGGGATGAGGTATATCCCTGGTTGCCCTTTGACAGTGCTACCCCTTGGGGTGTGTGCCTAACTGGCCATAGGACATGTGATTCTATTGCTCAGGACCCAAATCAAGGAACATTCAAGTGTGCCACACATTATGGTAATGATTGTATTTGTAGAGGAAATGGAAGAATTTGCTGTCTTTTGGCATTCTGTTGAGTTTCAAATCATTCTTTTTCTTTTTTATAGGTAGCCAGATTTTTGAAATGCTGTATCTACTTTCTTATATCTTGTTTTGGCTTTCATGTAATATTTGTTCTGTATGGAGCACCACTTATAGAGTAAGTCTAAAATTTTTTACCTAAGGACAATTATACATGTGTTGTGTACTTCAGACTTTATTTTTCTGTTGTTGAGAACGCACACCAATTCAATAGTTTCAATTTCATTTAGTGACACAAACCATTCTAACCCTCCTTTTCTTAATTGTTTTTCCCCTTAATAAAAACTCACTGCCCCCTAAGGTTCCTGTTGAATCTTTCAAGTGGTTGTTGTTAATTTTATCCCTTCTACGTAGTTCTTAAATGGATATAATGCTCCAGGCAGACATTTTTCACTAGTTAAGTTAAACTATGGTTGGTTCTGACAAAACTTTAGGGGATATTTTTAATTTTCGGTGTAATGATCATGTTGGGCAATAGTTGCAGGCTCCGATTTTAGGATGTCTGGAGCCTATGAGAATTTGAAATTCTGTTACACAGGGCATTTCCCCCTCTGATCAGATTTCTTCTGTAGGATCTTTGATCCAAATGTTCAGTAAGGGTAGCTGGGTACCACACAGTTCTTTCAGTCTCATGGTAAAAGAGGCAGTTGTTCATGGATTTCATAGCCTCCTCAGATTCCTGACTATCTTACCTCTGCTGAATGGGTGCTTGCAAACTGTGAAGACCCTGGGTACTATACAACAAACGAGGAGGTAGACCAGAAGCCTTAAACATATCAGGCGAATTCTTCAGAAAACCCAATGAAACTGGGAACCTAAACCTGCCAACCAAGGAACCAAATCCCCGGAGGTTATTTCAGATTTCATAAGACTATTGGTGATCTATAGCAGCTCAGCAGCTCCTTTGTTTTGGTTTTAAAACTCATGATTGTTAAAAATCTCTCAACCACAATTTTTGCCAGTTCAACTTTTTGACAGGCACGCAACTTTTTGACAGCAATTGCAGTCATTGACCCTGCCACCCTGCCCTTTATCAGTGCTCTTTTCCCATCAACATTAACACCCAACAGGAACAATAAAACACAAGATCGAAATAAGGTGGTATGGATAAAATAATAATATAATGACAAAAATACAAATGAGTAAGAAAGAACTGAGCACCGTCAACATTCAAAAAGCCAGGGGAGAACTTTCTGTCATGGAACAAGTAGGAGATACTTGCACCCACAGGTCGGGTCCATAGGGAAGTCAGCTGGCCAAGTAGCAGGTCACTGTTTTCTAGATGGGAGGACCAGGCTTTTGTAATGGGAAATAAAATTTCTATCGAGTCCAATGACTGTCTAGCAGTGTTTCCCCAAGTGGGCAATACTGCCCCCTGGCGGGTGTGGAAAGAATGCACCAGAGCTGCAAAAGCAAATACCGTATAAATCAACCCGAATATCAGCCGAGGCACCTAATTTTGCCACAAAAACTGCATTAAAAATGTGCTGAAATGTAGAAAGCAAATGTTTTGAGAACGATGGCAACAAATGTGCTTGACACAGTGGATGTATGTATGGATTGTGATGAGTTGTACGAGCACCCAATAAAATGCTTTTTTAAAAAAAATGTGCTGGAAAACTCGGCTTATACACGAGTATATACCGTACTTACCCTTTATGCTGGACCATGGGTTGTAGTACAAAATGGTTCATTGCCAAGGGGTTGCTGAGCAATTTTTTTTTCCCTGAGAAGGGAGAGGTAAGCCAAAAAACGTTTTAGAACATATGCTCTAGAGCAGGCATCCTCAAACTACGGCCCCCCGGGCCACATGCGGCCCACCGAGGACATTTATCCGGCCCGCCGGGTGTTTTTGCCCCGTTTTTGTTTTTTTACTTCAAAATAAGATATGTGCAACGTGCATACGGATTTGTTCATAGTTTTTTGTTTTGTTTTTTTAACTATAGTCCGGCCTTCCAATGGGTCTGAGGGACATTGATATGTCCCCCTGTTTAAAGAGTTTGAGGACCCCTGCTCTAGTGCATGTTTTTAAAATTCTAGCACTTGAAGCAGCAGAATCAGCATTTTTCAGAAACACAAAGTCTTTGGCCTCAAAAACTAACAGTCGGGCCCCCAATCTTTAGTTGATCCGCTCCGCAGGTATTTCTGATAGAAGTTTATACTGAATCATCGCTCATAAAGTAAGTGCCACTGACTGAGCGTCAGCTGCGTCGAAATGAGGTTTCTTGCAGAGGATAGTTGTGGAGTAAAGGCCAGCCCCCCCCCCCAAATAATTGCGGGTTCAATAGGCACAATTGTACAGTTATACTATATATAGATTACAATAAAGTCACAGAGAGCATGAGGGATAGAAGAGAGATGGAAATATTAGAGTCAGACACATTCATGGTAGCATGCTCATCTCAGCCCCACTTGGTGGGCCACATGGAGAGAAAGATGGAGGGCAAGAGAGAGGGGGAGGGGAAGAAGGACAAGGGAACAGGGGAGCAGGACAGGACAGGGAGAGGAAGGGGGAGTGAGCCAGGGAGAGAGGGAGGCCAGGGAGAGGCTCTTTATTGCTAACCCAGGCTTATATATCTTTGGGGGCCTGCAAGCCCCCTAATTATAGGTAAAGACATAGGTCACAGAAGGGGTGTGCTATAGGTGATACAGTAATGAGAGGGGGAAGATCTAGGGGTGTACACGCAATAGGAAGGGGAGGGATTGGGGGCACACATGTGACAAGATGGGCGGGTCCTAGATTCAGGATGGCAGCCTAACTTTGGATGTCACTGAGCAGGTCTGACCTGTTCTCTGGCTCTCCATGGAAACCATTATCAGTAGGGTGTGAGCCCCACCTACAGGGACCAGACTGATGGCCACAAGTCCATTGTCCTTAACAGCTGGGAGTGGGCCCTACTTGTGGTGGGACCAGACAGTCTGAAAGCTGAATGTATCTGACCTCCTACCATGTGCTGGCAAATAGCCTCTAATGTTTGGCATATCTTTGGGGGAGTCTAAGCTGGGGAAAAGTCTCTTTATAATCCCACAGATAATCTTAGCAAGGACCCTGGTATTTAACCCTTCTAAAATCTGCCATTCAAACCAGCTGGGGAAAAGTCTCTTTATAATCCCACAGATAATCTTAGCAAGGACCCTGGTATTTAACCCTTCTAAAATCTGCCATTCAAACCAGCTCTGCGCTAGGCGGTTTTTCCTAGCTTCCATGTGAGTAGTAACAATTTGGGTACGTGCTCCGGTGGTGTAGCAATTAGGCATCGGGCTGTGATCTGCATGGTCGGCAGTTCAAAACCACCAGCAGCTCCTCGGGAGAAAGACTGGGCGTTCTACTCTCGTAAACAGTTACAGTCTCAGAAGCTCGTCATGGGGTTGTGTTACAAGTCAGCAGTGGGTTTGCTATCACTATGCGCAGTGGAGTGTCAACATACTTTCATATTGTTTCTTTTTGCAAGAAAAACGCGTTTGCACATTTGACATTGTAAAAAAGATTAATAGTTGTTCTTTTTTCCTTTCCTAGATTGGTGTTGGAAACATTTTTATTTGCAGTTATTTTGTCTACTTTTACTACTGTGCCCTGTTTATGTCTGTTAGGACCAAACATCAGAGCTTGGCTGAGAGTTTTCAGTAGGAATGGGTAAGTTTCAATTCTGTTTTTAGTGGTATTTGAAATACATTTTGGGGGGGGAAACCGCATGAGGTCTTTTTCTATTCACAGCCTCTTGCTATTGTTCCTTGAGTGTTTCTCGGCCCTGTTGGGGTCTCAGACATCAGAGGCCACCTCAATTGGCCCTGTGGGTAGGGAGGCCAGGGTAGGCATCTGAGAGGGGGTCAAGTAGGCATCAGGAGATGCTGAGCCCTCCACTCCAGCTTGGTCAGCCCCGCTTTTGTCTGTCTTATGTGGGAAGGCAGAAATATGTGAAAAACGGTTTTTGCTACCAAAAGATAGTTTTGAAACCACTGTTCTGGTATAATTTTGCACCATGTTCCAATTGCTATAATTTCTGCTTCTGCATCTTATGATGTTGAAGTGGGGTCCCCAATCTAAAAATGTTTTGTGTAACAGCTGTAATTTCCTGTTTAGCCTCTTTCGTGGTAAGGCAACCAGGGCCCAAAGCTTAGCGAATTGTATTTCTTGCGTAGCCATACGTATGTTCAGCATCGCTACATGAAACTTTTTGCTTCTTAAAAGGCATTCAGATGATGTGTATCAAAAATGGTTGTGTCTGTAACTCAAAAGGTAATCTGCAGCCTGCAGTTCTGTGTCATTTATCAAGGATTTTCGTTCAGTGTAGCAAGTGATGAGGACTGCTAGGCACTTGCTCTGGGTCTCCTGTTGTGCTGAGCCCTTTGTGGCATCCGTTGGCAGTGCTTGCTGTAATGCGTTCCCTGCAGAGTTTGCAAGGTCAAGGGGCACGATTGAAACGAGCAAGCGATGCAGGACTAGAATTGTGTCAGCCAGAGACAGCAGTAGGAGACCCCTGAAGAACGGAGCTGAGGGGGCATTGACCGGGAAGGCCTTGGGCTCCTAAGTGTGGGGGTAGCCGAGACGAGGCAAGGAGACGCCCTCGGCTCAGGCAGCGGCACGGAGGAAAGAAAACACAGAAAGCGGCCATGTGGTATTGAGTGATTTACTCCCCTTTCATGAAGACGCTGGCAAACAAAAGGAACAATTGCTACCCATGACATCCCAAATGAAAGTGCTCTCCTCATCATTTTAGTTTGAAATGTGTTCACAGTGGAAATCTGTTGAAACCAGTGACCTGTGGAGCCTGCTTGAACTCAGTGACCCCCGCACACACGTGTGCGCGCACACACACACACACACACACACACACACACACACAGTTTTAGAAGAATTGCGCTCTGTGGAGTTTTCAGTGGTTGGTGTTCAGAAGTAGATCCTTGTGCTTCTCGCCTGAGGGACCTCTGGGTGAACTTGAACTTCCCACCTTTTGGTTAATCAGCCGTGTGTTTCAGCTGCTTGCACCACCCAGGAAACATAAGACCATGTGAAATCCCGTATTGGTATGGAGGGGTGGCCCTCTAGCCTTGAGTCCTCTACCTGGTAGTGGCATGAAGAATTTATGTGGGAAGACATCGTCATCTGTGATTTTCCGTTCAGCTCTGCTGTAACATGACAAGTACACTCCTAAAAATCATCACACTGTGCACAATCGGGCAATGAAAACCACAGGGCGTATGGGAACGCTGAGGCAGGGTGACAACATTAACATGCAAAGCCTGTCAGTGGTGCATGAAGAGAGGAAGGCCAGGAATTTACTAAAAGATGATCCAGCAGTTCCATACCTGCTGAACGACGAAGAAATAAATGTGAGACGCACAGTTTGCCTCTGGCAGTGGTTGTGGTGAGGTTGCTGGTGCTGCTGTGAACGAGGGTGACGTGACAGAGGAGGGCGGCCTGAGAACTGATGGAGGGGAGCCCCAGGGGAGCCTGGGCAGCGGCGCTCACTCAGAACACTATAAAGTGGCAGTTGGTAGATTTCTTTTATTAAAAATCCGCTTCATTGAGATATATTTTAAGTACATCCCATTTCAAGTGTAGGATGCAGTGATTTTTGTAGCTTGTTTACAGATGTGTGCAACCTTCACCACTGCCAATTTCAGAGCATTCTCGTTACCTCAAAAAGCCCTGATCCCTCAGACTGTCACTCACCTGTTTGGCCAGCCTCTCCAGCCCTGAGCCACCACTGTGTGCCTGAAGGCGATGTCCATTCCGTCTGTGTCGTGGCGATGCTGGTGAGGGGCCATCCATGGGGATCCGACCAACACAGAACGAGGGACCCCCCAGGCCTGCCCCGTCCTCACTGCTGTCATGTCGGAGCCCATTGTGGCAGCCCCTGTGCCAATCCATCCGGTCAGAGGCCTCCCTCGCTTTCGCTGCCCCTCTGCTTCACCAAGCGTGAGGTCCTTCTGTAGGGACTGGGCTCTCCTGACAACATGGCCCAGTCACGTGAGATGTACTCTCACCATCCTCAGCTCTCTTGATTTGCTTATTCTGGACCTTTCAGAGAAATAGAATCGTACGACGTGGGGCCTTTCTTTCATGTGACATGTGTTCATTCATATTGTGGTATGTTAGTAGTACTTCTGTTCTCAGCCTAATCACTCTTATGTTCTTTAAACGAAAAAAGTAGCCAGTCACCATTAATGAAAATGACTTTATTATGGGAAACCTTCCATACGAGTTGGGCTGCGAACTGCACGGTCAGCAGTATGAAACCAACCAGCTGCTTCAAGGGAGAAAGATGGGGCTTTCTACTTGCGGAAACAGAGCGTCAGAAAGTCACAGGGGCAGCGCTACTCTGTCCTATAGGGTCCCTGTGGCATCGACTCGGTGGCAGTGATTCTGGTTTTCGTTTTGAAATAAGAAGTCAATGTTGGTGCTGTTAAAAAGTAATTCATAGAAAGGAATATACCTGTTTGATTTCTTTCTTATCTTGCTCATTTAGCGCAGTGTGAAAATCCCATGGTCTTTTCATTCCATGTTTCCACGAACTTTGTGAAACTCCCTCGTGTTTGTGTGTGTATTTATGTATAAAATATCAAAACACCAGACCTGGGTGGACTTAATTCGTATTCTTTATTTTACTTCTCTAGGTGCTAATACTATTGCAATGGCTACACGGGACTCAGAAAATTCATGATCAAAGGCTTTATTAAGAAAGTTAACAAGTTGTAATGCAGTGAGAAATGCTCAGGGTTGAGTTGTTTATCAGCACATTTTTTAGGGTTCTTTCAGGTCTGCTAAGGATGCCCAAAGGGCATGCCACTGGAAGCCTCAACCTGAAGGCATTCCGCTCAAGTTCTTTGACTCAGCAAACTCAGCTCCCTGCAGTAAGTGCCCAAAGGCACCCCATGCCAGTAAGCCTTAGTCCTCAGGCACTCAGTTCCACCTCCATGGGCGAGCTAGCCCAGCTTCCCCAATTAAGTGCCCAGAGACGCCTCACTCCGCAAGCCAGCCTCCTGTACAAAAGCACTCAACTCGCTCCTTGGGTTGGGAAGCCCATCACTCTGTTCCATGCCCTGGCTCCTGGTTCTGCTGCTGCTCCTCCGGTATTCTAGCTGTCACGGGGAGGGTCACTGCAGGAGGACATGCTCCGCTCCTGGCTCTTGCTGGTAATGGGACCCTCCTCCTTTTTCTCAGGGGGCTCATTTTATACAAAGCAGTATGCCATTCCAGGGAATCCTGTTCACAGTTATTCATAGGTGAATCCTATATCTCTCCCCACCCCCTCCTTATCAGACCTTTACCTTGCAGGGAAATGCCTTTTGGTAGGAGTTAAAGACTTTGGCTTGAAGAGCCACTTTAAGTAATTCACGGCCATCAAGTCAATTCCAACTCATAATAACCCTGTCCGAACTGCCCCGTAGTGTTTGCACGAGCGCAATCGTTATGGAAACAGACTCCCACATCTCTCTAGCGTGGAACAGAGAGATGGTGGCTGAAACGGCTGAGCAGGGCCATTGTACCAAATGATAGTATACCAGTTAATGTTTTCTAACTTGCAGATATCTTTAGCTTCCTCTGCTGGTTTGAACCATAAATAAACTGGTCATCTCTCTCAGCAGAGGCTGGCTGGTTCTAGGTGCAGATAGGGCAGTAGCTCTGCGTCTCCCTTGTTTTCTCGGATCGTGTCCGTGGGCAGGTAAGATGGCAACAACTGCTTTTCTAAACTCAGCCTTAGACAAGTCTGTGGGGTTGCCATGATTGGATTAGTCTAATCCAAAGGGATGAGAGGAGTGTTAAAGCAATCATCAATAGAAGGGTCCTGTGTACCATGATTTACTTAACGAATCTCCTAGTAAAGGTTTCTACCAATATTGTCATGACAGTAAGTAATGATGTTATGAAGATCTTTGTACCATATAATTTTATAAGCTTGAGCAAAAGTTTCTCTGAAATTCCTAGATCAAAGAGTATGCACATATAAAAGATGTATACGCCCTGTCAAACTTCCCTGCATGTGTTTATGTCTATATGTGTGCCTGAGCGCCCCGGTGGTGTAGTGGGTTACCCCCGTATATTGGGCTGCTAAGTAAAGGTGAGCCCTTTGAAACCACCCGCTGCTTTGGGGAGAAAGATGAGGCTTGCTATGCTTTCCAATGAGGTTACTGTAGGAGTCAGAATAGACTGTGGCCGTGAGCTTGGAGTTCCATATGTGTTCCTGGGATTCAAGTGCCAGTTCCCTATGTCCTCATCAGGCTCTTCCCCTTCGTAGTCAGGCTCTCTGGGCTGCAGTCTACTGGGGGCCTGGCAGTGGGGCATACTGCGCTGTGGTAGCCTCATCTGACTGCAGATGGGAAGCAGAGAAGTTATGGCCACATATATTTTTTTAAAAGTGTAATGTATGGAATCACCATGTACTAAGTTTTCTCAGGATATTAGTGGTTAGAGCACCAGGATAGCATTCCCATCATCTGCCTCTGTCCTACCCCTCAGCCTCTTGCCATAGGAGAACTGATAAAAGTATTACCCAGCTCTCTCATGCAGCTCAGAGATGGGAAAGTGGTGCCAGTTAAATGGGAAAGGCAGCTTCAAACATAATCCACTCGTTTTTTTGTGAGGAAATAGGTAAGCTGGGCGGCCTGCCAACGTGGAGTGCAAACAAGATA